CGTGTTAGCCAGGATAGTCTCGATCTCCTGACCTCGTGATCCGCCCGTCTCGGCCTCCCAAAGTGCTGGGATTACAGGCGTGAGCTACCACGCCCGACCCTAAATTCTTTTAAACTTAGAACTGTGGCTCCACAACAGTTGTCAATAATCTCACCACTGCACTCCAGCCTGGGCCACAGGGCAAGGCCTCCTCTCAAAAAAAGAAAAAGATACATTTTTAAAAAGTAAAAAAAAAACTTAAAAAAATTTTTTTTCTAAAAGACAGGGTATCTCAGCTGGGAGTGGTGACTCACGCCTGTAATCTTACACTTTGGGAGGCCAAGGCAGGTGGATCACCTGAGGTCTTGAGTTCAAGACCAGCCAGGCTAGCATGGTGAAACCCCGTATCTACTAAACAAATTCAAAAATTAACCAGGCATGGTGGCAAGTGCCTGTAATCCCAGCTACTCGGGAGGCTGAGGCAGGAGAATCGCTTGAATCCGGGAGGTAGAGTTGCAGTGAGCCAAGATTGCACCACTGCCCTCCAGCCTGGGTAACAGTGAGACCCTGTCTCAAAAAATAAAGGGTCTCCCTCTGTTGCCCAGACTGGAGTGCAGTGGCGCAGTCATAGCTCACTGCACCCTTGACCTCCCAGGCTCAAGTGATTCTCCTGCCTCAGCAGCTGGGACTACCAGCATGCATCACTACGCCTGGCTAATTTTTTAATTTTTTGTGGTGATGGTCTCGCTATGTTACCCAGGCTGGTTTTGAACTCCTGGCCTCAAGTGATCCTCCTACCAGGGCCTCCTTGCAAAGAGCTGAGAGGACAGGCATGAGCCACCATGCCCGAACCCCCGAAGCTGCCTGTTCCTTGAGCACGATGTGTAGCAAGGGGAGCTGGAGTGAGAGCAGCACCATGGAGAAGGGACAGGATCGCCACCCTGAGCTGTGTGACGTTAGGCCAGACCCTTCTTCTCCAAGCGAGGTCAAACACATGGGTGATTTCGGGAGCCTGTGCCTGCTCAGACAGCCTGGATTTAGCTTCTTAGGTGGATGGGAACCTGTGAGGGTTTGGAGATGCTGGGAGAACTTTTTCCTGGGAGAGCTTTCCAAACAGAAAACAAACAGAACCACCCTGGGCCCCACTGAGGGAGGATCCTACCAGAAGCCCTCACCACTGTTGTGCTCCACGCCGGTGGTGATGGTGATGTCATCGATGTAGGTGGTGGGTGTCATGTACAGAAGCACCAACCGCTGCAGTCCCGCGTAGTTGAAGAAGTCGAAGTCTGTTTTCTGGACAAAGTAACCCTTGGGATACCTAGCGTGGGAGTTCTGAGGTTTGCTGGGCCCTTACCCTGGGTCCCTTGACCTCAGCTCACTGGCCTTCCCAGATCCAGGGCTTCCACTCTGCGAAGGCCACCCTGTGCCTAGCAGGAAGACCACGGGGTGGGACGGGAAGGTGGGTGTGTGCGGTGGAGACAGGATGGTACCCACTTGGAGGTGCTGGTCATGTAGCGGATGGTCCCTGGTGGCAGGGTGGAGGGCGTGAGGATGTTGTTGATGGCAATAGTGATGCAGAGGCAGGAGGGCAGGGGCCCAACCTCGACAGGGCTGCTGATGTCAGCCCCTCATGCTCTAGCGAGTCGATCCTATTCACCCACTGCAGACACAGGAGATACGGGGAGGGCATGGCAGGTCAGGGCAAGAGGCGGGGCCCTGCTATTGGGCACTCCCTCACATAACCTGCAGCATGGGGCTCAGGGGTCTGCCAGCCAGGCAGGAAGGATGACATCCCAATGGGGTAGATCAGGCCACCTATCCCCCTATACAGGGCACAGCCCCCAGGGTAGCGCAGGGTCCCCCACCATCCCACCGCAGGAGACAGGCTGTGAGTGGCAGTTGGGGTCCCATGCTGTTCAGCAGCCGTGCCCACTCAACCCACCCTGCCTGCTCCTGGCTGCACTGACCACGATGGCATAGGAGTGGGCAGTGCCAATCCTCAGCACCACTCGTGCACAGATCCTGGGTCCATTGCTCTGGCAGGGTCACCTCCCCTTCGTACCACACCTACCTGAAAAAATGCCACAACCACTAGTCCTGGCCGATGTCATTGAAGCTAGAGGGAACCCACATGTCCAGGGTGGGGCCCAACTGCAGAGAGAAGAGCCAGGTTCAGCTCCTAGGCCCCCAAAGGGATCCAGGACAAGTATGCTGCACAGCTGTGCCCCCAGGCCTAGTGTAAGCCCTGACACATAGCGGGGAATCTTGGCGGAATGGACAGATAACTTGCTGATGACAGGTGAACTGCCAGGGTGGTTTGTGCACCTGGGTCAGTGGGGCCAGGAGTTCCTCCTCGGAGTGGATGGGGCCCAATATCTCCCGAGACAAGTGAGAGCCCAGGGACTCATCCCAGCCCGAGGCAAGAGGATTCAGACCCGTGACTAAGAGGCAGATGACCCACTGCCTGTCACAGGGAGGAAGGCTGGTTGGGGGGATGGGGGGGCTTTGCTTAAGACACTGTGAGTGGGGCGCACACTGGCACTCAGCCCTCTCCTCTCTTCCTCCTGTACTGAATGCCACAAAGTCAGAAAAAGAGGATGCAGACCGGCCGGGCGCGGTGGCTCAAGCCTGTAATCCCAGCACTTTGGGAGGCCGAGTCGGGTGGATCACAAGGTCAGGAGATTGAGACTATCCTGGCTAACACGGTGAAACCCCATCTCTACTAAAAAATACAAAAAAAAAA